CAAACAAGCTGTAAATATTCTAAAATAAAATTTACATATTTGAATATTATGTCAACATTACTATAAGTCACAGTAATTGACAATTCAAAATATTTGTAATGCATATGAAAAATTCAGATAAGAAAAGCTTGTTTGACCTTGAAATCTGAAACGTGCTACATAAATTGGAACGGGGAGGGATTATTACTTTAGAACCTGAGATGTCGTTTAGTATGGTTTCTATGATAAAGTATTTTCCAATATACTTGTGTCAGGATATCTGATAATTTTTCTGTTACTCAGTTGCTTTCAACTAGCATGTTCTCTCTTTATCCACGACATTCATTGAGAAGGGATAAAGGGAACTATAAAAGAGGTTCTGTTAGTCTCATTGGTGGAGGTTCTCGATTTGAACTTTCTCACTGCACTCTCTCTAGGTCGCAGTTGCAATCTGCATCTAGTTCTCTTTGATGAATTGCCAAGCTGTTTTCTGTTGCTTTAACACGTGTGGGATTTATATATACTTTCTGCCAGTCTGTAAGTCAAATACTCTCCTGTTCCGGTGATGTGACACACTTTCCTTTTTAGTCGGTTTCAAAGTGAACGACACACTTCATTCCAAAACTATGAATTTTACACTTCCTATTTTACCCATGATGAGAAGCTTTTATAGTCACACAAATGCTATGTTATATTTAAGACTACAAGTTTCAAAAAGTCTTCATTTCTTTCTCAAACTCCATGCTGATTCTAACTATATAAATTGGGACGGAGGGAGTAGCTTATTTCTCTTGTGTCACACTTTCAGTTCACCTCCTTCTTGTAATTAGTTTACGTGCAATTTGTTTCAAGGACACTTCTAGCTGTGGCAATGACAAACTTAGGAGTGTTAGAGACCTACTGTTCTCGCTTATTCTTTGTTGTCTAGCGAAGATATATTTGTAGTCTCTGTTGCTTACTTTAAGGGAACATACATGGTGTAAATTTATCTCACTTTGCTTCTTACTCAAGATTAGTTTGCATGTTTTGCATGTATGATGTCATAAGCTGATATAAAAAATCCGTGGACTGCCCATGATGTACAATAATATATTTGAGGAAATTCAAAGTAGAAAAAGTTTGAATCCCTCCATACCACTTATTATGTTTGTTCCCTTTCCCTTAAAGGAATCTTAGCACGTAGCATTTCACGGCTATGCTGTTTAGTGCAAGTTCCATGATGAATTTTCTGATTGATGCAGGCTGAGAGTGCCATTGCTGCACTGAACTGCAGTGGTGCAATCCTGGGATCACTTCCTATAAGGTTGCTCTCTGATTCTTGTAGACTTCCTGGTGATGCTTATTCTCTATTTTACTGACATTTCCATTAATGTTAAACCTTTTTCCATACTGCAGAGTAAGCCCATCAAAGACTCCTGTCCGGCCACGTGCTCCTCGCTCGGTGGTGCAGTAATATAGCACTTTGCATTCCTTGTCTGATCTTATATCTAAATACATACGTAGATACAGAAACCATCGAGTACCTCGTGGAGTTTGTCTTTTAGTTTATTCGCGTTACTCAGCTGGGCATCTCTCACCTTCTGGATACTTGTTCTTGAGCTGGTACTGTTTGCTGGTTTGTGAGTGCTTATGTTGATGTAATTTAAGTTTGGTACATTCTGTTTCTCTAGGCATTGCCTCGAGTACCTATACTGACTAATGTTCTAACGGTGACATAGATCCAATGAGTTCCTCGATATTTCGCTATCCCCAATGGGTTTGTGTTTCTGTGTTTTGCTCTTCCTTTTTTTTTCTGAGCAAGTTCAACTTCAAACTTGAGACTTATAAAGGAGAGTATTCTCTTTCTTCGTTCTATATAGCAGGATGATTATTCAGGCTATTAGTCTCTTAATTGGCCCAAATGTGTTGCTCATTATTTTTATGTCTTGATGGTTGTAATTTTCCATAAAACAAGTGTCAGGTCCTTAAAATGTCACCTTTCATGAGGATTGAGCAAAGACCAGCTTTGTTAAATAGATGTCAATACCTTAGTTTCTTGATTTAGTTAGTATTAATACATAAATAAAAATGGAAGAGACAATCATTAGATTTTTTTTTTCTCGAATGGTTATATCCTTTCAGGATCAGAGAAAACTTTCTGATGCTTCTTTTCTTCAGAGAATGTTCCATGGAGCAAATCTATAACTCATCATAAACTGTGGGTTTTTATTTATTTATTTATTTATTTATGTAACTTGTTTTTATAGACGTGTGATTATATCGTCACAGAAACAGAGAATATTGCAGAACTGTGTGTTCATGGGGATTCACATCTAAATTTGACTCTTCTGTTATTTATTGATTTGGAAACACATGCATCAATTAATGCTGTCTCCGTTGTTGTTTTGGTTAACACTTAAAGAGGATATTAACACAGGCGCTTTTCCTCATCAGAGACAATGTTGGCAAATCCTACAACCTTAGATTCTAGGAAAGGGAAACAAGAAGAGCGCAGACGAATAATAAAGAGTAATACAAGCTCAAACCACTCTCGTATTTTATACTATATGCAAACTTACATTTTACACAAAGGTTACAAAAGAGCCAAGAACAAGAAAAGCCTGGGGAACTTTTAATTTAGTTGATTTGCACGTCTATCACCTTCTTCTCAACTTTGGTCTTAGGAATCGAGATGAAAAGGACTCCATTCTTCAATTCTGCTTTAATTTTATCTTTCTCAACGTTATCCGGTAGACTTAAACGAGTGTCGTAGGAGCTGTAATTCCTACCCCACGAGTGTTCATCGTCTCCGCCTTCTTCCTTTTTGTGTTCGCCTTTAATGACAAGCATGTCATTTTCCACAGATACCTTCACATCTTCCTTGGAGAGTCCCGGCATGTCGAAACGCATCTTGATTTCGTTTTCATCATCATGGATGTCCCAAGGAGCACGTATTTCCCCTGTTGCTGCTGCCCTGTTCCTTCCTGGGAATGTCATGGTATCCTCGAATAGTCTGTCCATACTGTCTATCATCTGCCGCATTGTTCTCATGGGTGAAATTGGATCCAACAGTCCTGTTCGTCACATGAATCAAATTTTGCTGTTTAGTGTTAAACTAAAGGAGCAGCTTTTAGTTTCATGCCTACTACTATCAACTACCCCCAACTGTTTTGATTCACGATTAACAACTTAACGGAAATACATAAAGTACAGTTAACATAAACAACAATCGCGAGCAGGGCTACCGGGTCAGTAGAGTGTTTGAGCAAAAGCTATGGATTCGACCAAATCACAGCTAGGCCTCTACCTCTACCTCGGCCCCTTGAAGAAGCTAGAGTCCATCTGAACCCAATAGTTTTTGAGAGAATACTTGAAGACCCTGCTAAACTTTGACACAAATTATTAATTGTACCTCTAACTCGCAGTAATCTTAATTGCCTTCAAACTTGCTATCTGACAGTCTCACTAAACAGCTATAATAATAGATTTCAAACTCGATAAATTATGTAAAAATGTGAGAAAATTTCGAATAGTAACCTACAAAATTTAAATTCTAAATTTGGCTCTATTTGTGAGTTAATGCAAAACTAATTAGTAGTAGCACGTTATGGTGTTAAAATTTCCTTAATTTTGATACATATCAACTCTTTAATTTAGTACAGAGTCAAACATCACATAAAAAATGAAAATGGAAATGGAACGGATGGAGCAAATGGGACTTACCAAAAGGGGAGACATCAAGAGCCATCCTCCTAGGACGGCGTTCAACAGCAGTGCTTTTATTGTTTCCTCCTTGACCGCTGCTGACGTGCTGCACATCAACTGAAGTATCTTTGTTATCTCCGGTGGCCTGAGCTACCAGTCTAGACGCTGCCCTTCGCGTGTTGCACGCAGACGGAAAGAAAACAGAGCAAGGTGCAGCTCCCCTGTAGTTGGTCCTAGAAGTCGCATTAACTGCACCATTTGATGATGATGCTAAAGGAGAAGCCGATGAAATTGTAAGAGTTTTGCAAGCCATTTGAAAAATAAAACAAACACAGAAAGAAAATATCGATCACAGGATATCTTTATCAAGATTTCTTAAATTTGCAAGTGGATATTTGGTCTTGTTTTCTGTTGCTCAAGTTCTGCAAAATAAGGAGGTATTTATAGGGAGAAGAGTCAGAAGGGTGTGGAGGAATCGTGAAAGTTTTAGATAAAACTGTGAAGTGGTGATTGCTACGGTTTTCTCGATCAATCTCTTCAAGTTTTCTACTGCCTTCTCGAAAGATCGCATATTTCCCAAATTTTAGAAAACTAAGGTCTCTATTTCCGCATTATTATGTTTTCACCCCCCTTCTTTTCTCAGGAAGGAAAAAATTGACACTCCCAATTTAGTACAGGTGTATGATTTCGATATAAAGTTTTAAGAATAATTTACAAATTTCTATCACAAAATTTAAAATATAATTGTTATTATATATAAAATAAAACAATATATATAACTTTGTGAAATTAATCATTTATCCGATGAATTAAAGGTTGACATCAAATGTTGTTTCTCTTCACCGGATTCTATATGCATGTGCTCTTACTTTATAATTCATCAAACGAAATTTGACAGTAATTGTATAATTAATAATAAGTACCTAACATATCTTTTTTGAGAAATGATGTTGCAAAGATATCTAATTTAAATAATATTTTTAAAAAGTGAATTAGATGATGTCCAATTTCGGATCAAAAACCAGTTCAATTGAAGTATTGAACCTACAAAGTAGACAAACAAAATTCGGGCATGAAGGGGTAATAAGCACATCAATGCATTTCTCCATTCTGAATTTCCAATAAAAGGAAGGTATCACTTGGAATGATGAAAGAAAGGAGCTGATCGACCATTCATATCTTTGCACGTCCATTACCAGAGTATATAGTATGATATGCAGTACTATATAATTAGTTGAAATTGGCAAAGGTGATCATATCCTAAATCATTTGTTCGGAACCAATTTTCATCGAGCAAAATAGATAATAATAAAAAAATGTTGGCCAGAAAATTTATGCGTTGGGAATGGGATTTGAACCCACGCCCTTTACAACCAAAATGTTAATCTAACACCTTAGACCAACTCAGCCATCTCAACTTACGTTAAATATTATCCAGTTTTAGTATATATGTGATATATCCTCTTCATAACCTTTCGAAGTAACAAATAACATTTGTACCGTGTCTCATAATTTCTAGAACTAATGTTACCGTTCCATGAACTTGTTTGATAATTGATTAGTTTATCATGGAGAAATAAAATCTTATTAAAAATCGTACAAGTTATATAATTAGTACTCACATAAATAAACTGCATTTTTTAATATCAAATATCAAAAGAATCACACACTACATTTAGAAATTTTAGTAAAATATCACTTTCTTAAACTCATTAAAAGCACATAAGCAAATTATGGAGAAGAGGGAGTACGAACTAGTTTTTAATGTTGTATATCCAGTATCCGCCAAAAATTCAGAGGGACTCTTTATAACTGCTTGATTCCTTGCATGCTTAATGAGATTATTCACTTCTTTAATACTCTCTGCTACCATGTGTGAATTTACCGTTCTTTTAAAATCCGGGCTGATCGAATGAATATAAACAAGTGAAATGGGATTCCGTGGAAAGTGAAGACAAAATTAAAAGCTGCTGGACTCTGGTTCAATATTTCAAAAGCGGTAGCTAATAAGGAGTATAGTTGTATCTATCAAGTCAAACTGAGATATTTTTCAGCCAGAATCCTAAAGACTAGCCAGCCAGCTCAAAAATATACAGACAGATAACAGGTAGTAGTAGGGCCATTATGCCTCTCTATCAGAAAGCCAAGAACTAGGTCCCTGTTTTTATAAACTCAATGTCCATTTCATCATCTTGTGTTGTAAACTGTACTGATATGGTGATGAGAGTACCTAAGAATCCCAAAGTGTCCATAATGACACAGTTCATTCTCATGAGAAACCCGAGATCAGATAATTCTAATTCATTTTTTTAAGTGTCAGGAAAACTGTACACTTTTGACATACACATATACTAGTGATCTTGTGTTCGGAATTGAAATTTGCCTGAGAATGAACCATAAAGACAGCCACTTTGTAAACTTCTAGGATCATTGAAATGAAAGCAACAAAAGTAAAATAAAAAAAACGGACACCTAAAAAAAGGAAGAGTCATTCTGGCATTCTAACTCTGCCAGTGGAATTGAACCGCCTCAGGTGTAATAGTCCGAGCTGCAAGAATTGGGCTGTTGCAAACACTGCTGTCGGAGTGCGAAAACGTCTTTTGAAGAACCCCAGACGGTGATGAAACAGTTGTTGCTGCAGGGCTGATTGAATCACCATTGCTTGTGTATGATGAAGCTGGGTTTTCACCTAGATGAATAGATGAGCTAGGGTGTAAAACTTCAGCCAATGGTCCTCCAGATGCAAAAGAGACCCAACTGTTCTCCCAAGACTTGTGCTCATTAGCATTCATAAATTTACTATCCAATCCCATATCCTCATCGAGGGCATCACCAGCAGCCATAGCAATAGAGAGAGTAAGCGAGGATGGGGAGATGTTCCCTGGCGATGGCCACAACGAAGCCTCCAAATTCGCATTGTTGCTATTGTTGTAGACGTTATCGTCGGACCGTGCATTAATCAAGTTCCTCGAGGTATCCTTTACAGATTGCTGACCCATAGAAACTAATTCAGGATTTATCATGAAATTGAACTCACCATTGTGCTTGACACTCACATCTTCAGTTCTTTCCAAATCTCTACTTGCCAATAAATTCAATGCCTCTTCCCTGTAACTATGCTGGAAATCTGGATGAATCCTTAAATCAGCTGAGAAACCTGCGTTTGAGTCCATGAAGTGTTGCCATTGTTGTCCAGCATCAGCTTTTGCTACCAACTCGCCTTCCATCATCCAGCCCGAACTTCTTTAATCATACAAAACACGAAACAATATAACAGAGATAAATTGGGGACTTCCATAAGAAGTAAAAGAAAAAAAAAGAGTAAAGGTGTGGCTTAAGCTCAACCAATTGCAGGAGCGAAAACCTGTGTAGTTCATTAAAAGAGGGATCAGTGGAGATATATTCCCCCTTCTTATCATTGAAAAACAGGAAACCCTGACTTTGTTGAAAGGTAGATCCAAGAGTCTGCTTCGCTGAAGGGTTGTTGATTTGACCAGCAGGTCTGGGTATAGGAACAGCCATGGAGGTAGATTCAAGAGGAGCAGGGTGAAGGCGGGTCTTCTTATTGTCACTGGTGTTGCTAACAGCGGCATGAACTTCCACATGCTTTCTTGAACGGGGACGGCCTCTATGCATATGGCGCTCACAGTATTTCTGATGAGGGGCTACATCTCTCGAGCATCTCCATTTTTTGCCGTCCGTTCTTTTGCACCTTCCTGGCTCTAGATCCCTAATACTTGTGTAGGGCTGGCCTTGTATCGAACCAGTAGCCGCTGCACAAAAAAATCAAGAGAACCAATATAATTTGAACGCCAAAAGAGTTGCAATGTGAAATAAATCAAGAAAAGGACCCGAAAACTACATCAATCAGGGGGAAACAAAGGGGAAAAAAAATGATGGGACAAAAAGGGAAAAACAAAAGGGTTGTTACAGGTAGTGTGAAAAGCACTGTGTGAAGCTCCAGAAGAATCCGTGGAAATTGATAAGAGGAGATCCGGAGGCACAGATATAGCTGAGACCATGTACTTGTAGATCATAGCTTGCCTCTCCAGTTCCTTCCACTGCGCCCATGTAAAAGGGTACCCCAGTGCAGTGGCCATCCCTCCTGCAGAGTTTACAAAACAGAAAACATACATTTATTCTTCAAAGTTCAGATACTTTTTTCCCCCTCGGTTTCTCGCTTATTCACTATCTGTCTGTGTTCTTTTAGGTAGGAGCAACAACAGTAGTAGTATTAAATTCAGGTCTTTCTTTTTCAATATAGCACAGAGAAAGAGGAACAAGGGTTGAAAAGGGAACATCAAGAACAAAGAAAGTACACTTTAATTTAGGACTAAGGTCAAGGGGACAAAGGAAAAAAAAAAGGAAAAGAAAAGCCTTTTACCTGGGGAGTTGGTAGAAATATCAAAAGGCTGCAAAGTCCTTACAACCGCTGCACCACCAGTAGCTGGAGGAGGAGCAGGAAGAAGACTAGCATCAGAGTAAACATTATGATACTCACTAGAAGAAGGCATTTTGTTAGCCCCGTCAGAGGATGGACGGTGAGGATCTTGTTGATGATGACGATGACCCATCATGCTCTTGGAAGGGAATGATTCAGTATTCTGCAGTTGCAAACTGTAACAAACAGTAGCAATTTCTCCACCATCTAGGGTTGATGTTGCCTTGTCCAAAACGTTAAAGCCATTAATAGCACCCTCCTCTACACCCATATACACTTAATACACACACACCCTAAAACTGGAAAGAGAAAAAACTCTCTGAAAGTCACTGCCTTTCCTTGTCAATGACTAGCAAAAAGGCAAATAGAAAAAGAGCTATAAGACCAAACCCTGTTAGGAAACTCTTCACTTTCCTCTCACCGTCTTTGATTTCAAACAGTTCTTGTTACTGCGGTGCAGACAAATGGGTAAAATATTTACTCTCGAAAACTTTAGACTAATATGGGTTGTGAGGAAGATGGGAATTATTTTGGAGATTTAAAGTTTTATTCTTTTGCCGCCATTCTTGGCCCTTGGTTTGCTTCCATTCTTCCAACATTCGCACCGTTGTGCTGTAGACAGAAAAATTGAAGTAACAAACAAACACACACACTTTTTTCTCTCACTCCTTCATAATTGCATTATTTATCGTTTTCTGAGGGATAAAGCCTCGCCACCGTACCACACCTTTTTTCCATTATTTTATTCTGCTATCCTTTTAATTTTTTTTCATTGTAATGGTGATGAACTTTATTAATTTTTTATTTAAAAATAC